CCCCATCAAAAAAAAAAAAAAAAAATACGGCCCCACAAAATCTTTTTTTTTTTGAGTTGGAGCCTCACCCTGTCATCCAGGTTGGAGTGCAGTGGCATACTCATGGCCACTGCAGCCTCAACCTACTGGGCTAAGCGATCCTTCTGCCTCAGCCTTCTAGGTAGCTGGAACTACAGGTGCACGCCACCATGCCTGGCTAATTTTTTGATTTATTGTAGAGACAAGGTCTTGACAAGTTGCCCAGGCTGATCGCAAACCCTGGGCTGGGCTCAGGCAATTCTCTCACCTCAGCCTTCCAAAGTGCTAGAAGTACAGGCTTGAGCCACCATGCCAAGCCACAAGATCTTTTAACATCGTGTAGTTTTTAGTGCTGATTTTCCCCTTCCATTTTTGAAGTTCACAATCATGCCATTGTTTTCTGGCAGCATGTAAATTTGTGAGCAGCTGTTTTTTCTTTTTTTTTTGAAAGCAGGATTTATTGAGAGGACAGAAAAGCTCCCACAGTGGGAGGGGACCCCAGGAGGGTTAACCTTTTTTTTTTTTGAGTCAGAGTCTCACTCTGTCACCTAGGCTGAGTCTCTGTCGCCCTGGCTGGAGTGCAATAGCATGCTCATGGCCACCGCGGCCTTGACCTGCTGGGCTCAGGTAATTCTTGTGCCTCAGCCTTTCAAGTAGCTGGAACTACAGGTGCGGGCCACCATGTCCAGCTAATTTTTTGATTTATTATACAGATGAGGTCTGACCATGTTGCCCAGGTTGGTCTCAAGCCCGAGCTCAGGCAATCCTCTTGCCTCCGCCTCCCAAAGTGCTGGGATGATAGGCGTGAGCCACCGTGCCCAGTTGTGCAGCAGGTTTCCATGATGAAGCCACGGAGAGCAAAATTCCAACAGACATTTCTGAGAGCATCTTGAGAACTCACGGAGAATTGCGACCACGTCCACCGAACCTGATACTGGTAGTTTCACATGTTAAACAAGGTCAAATTTCCCACCGGTTATACATTGTTCTCATTTTTCTAAACTTTAGAATAGAAAATATTTTTAAAGAAGTCTTATGATTGTACACACTAGTTATATTACATCATTTGTGTGGTCCAAGGCGATTCCTCTTTCCTCCAAGCGGCCCAGGGAAGCCAAAAGGCTGGACACCCCTGCCCCAAACCATGAGCAACTTGGACAGAACAAGCCGGGTGCGCTTGGGGCTGCTGGACCCTACTCCACAGCTAGCTAAGAGTCAGCACGGGGTCAGGAAGGACTCTTGGCATCCTTGTCTGTGTGTGTGTTTGCGTGCGGGTCTCACTCTGTCGCCCAGGCTGGAGTGCGGTGGCCAGATCACGGTTCACCGCAGCCTCGACTATCGGGGTTCAGGCCATCCTCCCGCCTCGGCCTCCCAAAGTACTGGGCGGACACTGACATTGGAGCCCAGGGGAGACAGCCGCTTGGTCACTGCTGGCGGTGTCTGGACACACGGTCACGCTCCCCGGGTCCTGCCATTGGCCACCGCGCTGCTTACAGCCGTGAGTCTGTCGACGCCCTAAGGACGCTAAGATTATATCAACATATACAAAGTCCAGCTTGTCGCGGAGATTACTTTTATGGCGGGTTCATAACCTGGTCTGCGTCCTGCGGCACGGCGCTCTGCCCCCACTTCCCACTTTGCCGTTCTCCCGGTCCCCTCCTACAGCAGGGGCCTTGACGAGGAGAGCGGTTTCCCTGGAAATGCGCCCAGGCACGTCGCTCCGCCCCTTTCCCTCTCGCGAGAACAAACGCCCCGCTTTTTCCGGTAACTGTCGGCCCGCCCACCGGCCTCCCGCGCCCCGGCGCTGGCTTCGTGCACGCGCGGCTGGCAGCTGCCGAGTCCGCGGCTTCCGGTCGGAGAACACGGTGCGTGGTGGGGTCCTGCTAGTGCTTCCTGTCCGGCGTCCACGCGGGCCCCGGTGCCCCGCGCGTTCCGGCCAGCCAGGGGCTCGGCCACGGGGGTGACGTGGTCGGGCGCCCTCCCGCCCGTGGTGGAGGGGAGGCCCGGGGAGTCGGCGGGGAGGGGGGCGGCCCGGGCGCGACGTCCGATGGCCGCACGCTGTCCCCTGGCCTGCGGCGTCGGCCTGCACGTGAGCGGGAACGGTGCACACCTTCTCATGTTCCTCTGGCTGCCGTGGGTGGCCAGTCCACGCAGCCTCGACCTCATGGGCTCGGGTCAGCCCCCGCCCCGGACTCCTAGTAACGAAATGCAGACACGCCCGGCTCATTTTTCGATATTTTTTGTTGTTGAGGCGAGGTCACACTATGTTGCTCAGGCAGGCCTCGAACTCCTGGGCTCAAGCGATCCTCCCGCCTCGGCCACCACCCCCAAAGCGCTGGCTTGACAGGCGTAAGCCACCACGCCGGCCTACAACTTTTTTGTTTTTTTTTAAATCGAGTCTCACTCTGTCACCCAGGCTGGAGTGCAGTGGCAGGCTCACGGTCACTGCAGCCTTGACCCCTTGGGCTTAAGCCATCCTTCCGCCTCAGCCTCCCGAGTAGCTGGAACCACAGGCGTGTGCCACCACGCCTGGCTCATTTTTCTGATTTATTGTAGAGAAGATGCCCAGGCTGGTCTCGAACCCGTGCTCTTAGGCAGTCCTCTCGCCTCTGTCTCCCAGACAATAGCCACCATACCTGGTTCCACCTTATATATTTTTTAATTTTTTGGAGTCTCACTCTTTTGCCCAGGCTGGAGTGCAGTGGCACACTCATGTTTACCACAGCCTCAACCTGCTGGGCTCAGGTGATCCTTATGCCTCTGCTGTCCAAGTAGCTGAAACTACAGGCATGTGCCACGTGCCCAGCTAATTTTTTGATTTATTGTAGAAACAGGATCTTGCCAACTTGCCCAGGCTAGTCTCAAACCCCAGGACTCAGGCAGTCCTATCACCCTGGCCTCCCAAAGTGTTGGGATTATAGGCATGAGCCACTGCTACCAGCCTAACTCCTTATTTTTTCAGCACACAAAACTGAGATCCCAGGTGGACAGCAGAGGAGTGCAGAGCTGTTTAGGGTAGTAGGTAGTAATGGTTTTTGCTTGAAGCCATAGGAGAAGGGTCTATATGATTTATAGCAAATGGAAACCTGGACTTGGTGTTTTGAGATTCCACGTGTAAACCTCGGCCTAGTCCTTGTGGCATACTCCAGAGACAAAACATGGAGTGTTTGCAGACATAATCACCAACTCTTAAAGTACAAATCAGACACTTACTGGAAGTGTTCAAATGTTCCCTGGAATAACCACCTGCTTCTCTGTTGGTTACACTGAGAAGGCGTAATTCAGGGTTCCCCCTTCACATACTCATGTTAAGTGGAAAAGGCTTTTGTAAGACACTTTAAAGATGAAGGACAGTGTGCGACTCACCTTTATAGGGGACCCAAGAGTTGATTTCTAAGAGAATTTCTTTTGGTTAATTCTGTGCTTTCTGTTTTTTAATAGATGCAGGAGGAGCTGACACCGGGCGTGTCCCTTATTGACAGAACCATCAAGATGAGAAAAGAAACAGAGGCTAGAAAAGTGGTATTAGCCTGGGGACTCCTCAATGTATCTGTGGCTGGAATGATATATACCGAAATGTAAGTCCATCAGCCCCAAAGTGGAAACTTGGGAAGTCAATGGGCGACTCCACAGGTTTTTGTGTTTTGATGTTTGGTGTTTTGATATTAATGAAAGCCTGTCTGACTTTTTTTCAGGACTGGAAAATTGATTAGCTCCTATTATAATGTGACATACTGGCCCCTCTGGTATATTGGTAAGTTATTAGTTTTCACTGTAATTTAGACTTATTGACAGTGAATAACTGCCTTTGGCTTTAATTCAGTTTAGTGTTCATTTCTTCTGTCAGCAAATACTTGACTGCGTAGTATGTTCTGAAAACTGGGACAGGAACAAGGTAAAACTTGGCCATTATGGAAGGAGCATTCTAATAGAGGAGACAGTCAGATTAATAAGCAATTTCAGGTCATTATGAGATCTGTCAAGAGCCTAAATGCGGGGGTAGTACGACTTGTATTTGCTACTCTCCCTAGGTGCCCACCCACGTCTCTGTCCTTTCATCTTTCACTGCCAGGCTTCTGCTCCACTGAGGCGCCTTCCTCAGTTTCCACATCCCTTCACCTCCTCTGTCTGTTCTTCTGTAGTCCCTGGATATAAAGAGGGTAGGGAATGTCACCATGTCTGCACGTTGCTCTGAAGTCTGTCCTAGAGAACTGGACAGGTGATAGAAGAGCACGGGACTTGGAATCCATGGGCCTGAATTAGAATCATGGCTTCACGGACTAGTTGTGTGCTCTTGTTAAAGCCGAGCGCAGCGGCTCATGCCTGTCATCCTAGTACTTTGAGAAGCCGAGGTGGAAGGATCATTTGAGCCCAGGAGTTCAAGACCAGCATGGACAAGATAGCAAGACCTCATCTTTACCAAAAAAAAAAAAAAAACTAGCCAGGCAAGGTGGCTCACACCTGTAGTCCCAGCTACTCAGGAGGCTGAGGCGGCAGGATTGCCTGAACCAGCAGTTGGAGGCTGTGGTGAGCCATGATCCTGCCACTGCACTCCAGCCTGCATGACAGGGAGACCCTGACTACAAATACACACAAACATACATACATACAATTTTTAAAAAGTCACTTGATTCTTATCTGTCAGTAGGCGTAAAAGAATAGTCACTGCTTTGACTGTTGGTTTATTTTTATTTATTTTGGGTTGGAGTCTCACTCTGTCACCCAGGCTGGAGTGCAGTGGCATGCTCACAGCCACGATAGCCTCAACCTAATGGGCTCAGGTGATTCTTTCACTTCCAACTTCCAAGTAACTGGAACTACAGGCACATGCCGTCATGCCCAGCTAATTTTTTTTTTTTTTTTTTTTGAGTTGAAGTCTTACTCTGTCGCCCAGACTGGAGTGCAGTGGCTGCTCCCGGCCACCGCAGCCCCTACCTGCTGGGCTCCGGCGATCCTTCCGCCTCAGCCTTCTGAGTAGCTGGAATTACAGGCATGCGCTACCACGCCCGGCTGATATTTTGATTTATTGTAGAGATGAGGTCTTGCTGCCCAGGCGGGTCTCGAACCCGCGGGCTCAGGCAATCCACTCACCTCAGCCTCCCAAAGGCACGGGATTACAGGCTGAGCCACCGAGCCCGGCTCTGGCTAATTTTTTGATTTGTTGCAGAGATGAGGTCTCACCAAGTTTCCCAGGCTGGTCTTGAACCCATGGGCCCAGGAAGTCCTCTCACCTCAGCCCTTCAAAAGTGCTGGGATTATAGGCATGAGCCAATGCACCAGGCCCAGTTTATATATATATATATTGTGGGTTTTTTTTGAGTTGGAGTCTCACTCTGTCACCCAGACTGGAGTGCAGTGGCCGCTCCCGGCCACCGCAGCCTCGACCTGCTGGGCTCCAGCAATCCTTCCACCTCAGCTTTCCAAGTAGCCGGAATTACAGACATGTGCTACCACTCCCGGCTGATTTTTTGATTTATTGTAGAGATGAGGTCTCGCTGCCCAGGCGGGTCTTGAACCTACGGGTTCAGGCAACCCACTCACCTCAGCCTGGCTCAGTTTATATTTTTAATGGTGAAAGTATTTATTGTAGAGATGAAGTCTTGCCTGGTTGCCCAGGTGAGTCTCCAACCCGTGGGCTCTTCCAATCCTCTCTCCTCTGCCTCCCAAAATGCTGGAATTACAGGCGTGAGCCACCATGCCCAGTTAGATGAGTTACATTTTGAAACTCACTAGTAATTGCCCTGCACATAATAGACATTCTTTAAATGGTATCTTTCACGGGGAATCAGCAGGAAGTTTTCCACTTTGTTGGTAATTAGCTAAAGTCTGGAGGTTCCTGTGCACTCCTCCATGGATGGCCCTGCTCTCCCCCACTTTTTACAACACTAAATCATTCTCTTGCAGAGCTCGCCCTTGCTTCGCTCTTCAGCCTCAACGCATTGTTTGATTTTTGGAGATATTTCAAATACACTGTGGCACCCACAAGTCTGGTCGTTAGTCCTGGACAGCAAACACTTTTAGGGCTGAAAACAGCTGGTAAGTTTTCTCTCTCTTGCAGAGGTGAGGGAAAGATTGCAGTGAATCTTTCTCAATTTACTTTTCCCTCTCTGTGAACTCAGAGCTGAAGGGGACTTGTGAGGCCATCGGGTTCAGCTGTGTGAAGCGGGCCTACTGTAAATTGTCTTAAGACCAGCGATTGGTCGGGCTCAGTGACTCAGCCTGTAATCCCAGCACTTTGGGAGGCTGAGGCGAGTGCCTGAGCCCACAGGTTTGAGACCAGCCCAGACGACTTGGCGAGACCTCGTCTCTACAGTAAATAAAAAAATTCGCTGAATATGGTAGCATGCACCTGTAGTTCTGGCTACTTGGAAGGCTGAGGTGGAAGGATAGCTGGAGCCCAGCAGGTCAATGCTGAGGTGGCTAATGAGTGTGCCACTGAACTCCAGCCTGGGTGACAGAGTGACACTTCAACTAAAAAAAAAAGACCAACTGTTGCCATTCCTTCATGGAAATGTGTTCCACTGTTCAGTTACAATTCAAATTAAAGGACCAACTCTTGTTGAATTGAAGCTAATTTCTTATTTCTAACTCTGGAAATGGAATACCACTAATTCTGTCTTTTGATAATAATATTTTATGTAATTTAACAGGTCACTGTTACTTTTAGTTCCTTGGGTATGTTTTCATAGCCATTTGTTCATATGTGCATACTCATATTTTTTTTTCCTTCTAGTTGTACAAACCACTCCGCCCCACGATCTGGCAGCAACCCGCGTCCCTCCCTCTCCACCTTCCCCTTCCATTCAGGGTCAGAGTGTTCTAAGTTACAGCCCATCTCGCTCGCCTAGTGCCAGTCCCAAGTTTACCACCAGCTGCATGGCTGGATACAGTCCTCAGCTACAAGGTCTGTCCTCAGGTGGGAGTGGGTCTTACAGCACCGGAGTGACCTACTCACCCATCAGTGGTTACAATAAGGTAATGACTCTTTTCTCTTGGCCAGTCACATTATTTTAGAATTGGGAGGTACGTTGACAATTATCTAGCGAGTCAGAACTTCTCATTTTATCCATGAGCAAACCAGGGAAGAGTGGGTGACTGACTTGCCCAAATCACCCATTTAAGAACCAAGAATAGAGGCCAGGCGTGGTGACTCAAGCCTATAATCCCAGCACTTTGGGAGATCAAGGTGAGAGGATTGCCTGAGCCACTGCCCTCCAACCTGGGTGACAGAGTGAGACTCCTACTCTGGGGGGGGTGGAGGGGGTGGGGGGAGAACCAAGAATAGGCTAGGTGTGGTGACTCATGCCTGTAATCCTAGCACTTTGGAAGGCTGAGGTGGGAGGATTGGCTGAGCCCAGGAGCTCAAGACCAGCCTGAGCAAAATACCAACACCTTGTCTCTACAAAAAAATCAAAAAAAGTAACCAGAAGTGGTGATGTGCACCTGTGTTCCCAACTACTCTGGAGGCAGAGGCAGAAGGATCACCTGAGCCCAGGAGGTCAAGGCTGTGGTGAGCTGTGACTGCCACTGCACTCCAGCCTGGGCAACATCGTGAGACTCTGACTCAAAAAAAAAAAAAAAAAAAAAAGACAAGATCTCACTCTATTGCCCAGGCTGGAGTGCAGTGTCACCATGTTAGCTCACTGCAGCTCACACAAGTTACTTTTTTTTTTTTTAATCAACTTACATTTTAGAGCGGTTTTAGGTTCTACGAGGGAGGTACAGAGATCTCACATGTATCTGAACTGACACATGCATAACCTCCCTGTTACCAATGGACCCCTCTGAGTAGCACATTTGTTACAGATTTTGAACCTACATTGACACATCAGTGTTACCCAAAGTCCGCAGGATCCCCTCTGGGTGTTGCCCATTCTGTGGGTTTGGATGAATGTGAGAGTACATGTGTCTTATCATTTTAGTAATCTATAGCATGAAGAAAATCTCTCCTGCTCCGCTTACTCCCTTCCCTTTTTCTTCACATTTCTGGCAACGATCTTTTTGTGGCCTCCAGAGTTTTGCCTTTTCCAGGATATTATATACTTGGTATCATACCCTTGTAGCTTTTCAGGTTGACTTCTTTCACTTAACAGTTTGCATTTGCCCGGCACAGTGGCTCATGTACTCCTCCTCCTTGCAGTACTTTGGGAGGCTGAGGCAAGAGGATTACTTGAGCCCACGGGTTCGAGACCAGCCTGGGCATCTTGGTGAGACCTTGTCTTTACTATAAATCAAAAAATTAGCTGAGTGTGGTTGTGTACACCTGCGGTTCTATCTCCTTGGATGGATCACCTGAGCCCAACAAATTGATGCTGCAGTAGCCATGAGCATGCCACGGCACTCAAGCCTGGGCAACAGAGTGAGATTCCTACTCAAAAAGACAAAGAGAGTATGCATTTAAATTTTCTCTGTGTCTTTTCGTAACTTGATAGCACATTTTTTTTTTTAATTATTATTTTGAGTCAGAGTCTCTGTCACCCAGGCTGCAGTACAGTGGCATGCTCAAGCAGCCTTGACCTGTTGGGCTCTGGCCTTCCAAATAGCTGGAATTACAGATGCACGCCACCACACCCAGCTAGTTTTGTCTTGTGATTTATTGTAGAGATGAGGTCTCACCAAGTTGCCCAGGCTGATCTCGAACCCCCAGGCTCAGGTAATCCTCTCTCCTCGGCCTCCCAAAGTGCTAGGATTATAACTGAGCCACCGCCCCCAGCTGGTAGCGCATTTCTTTTTAGCTCAGAATATTATTCCATTGCCTAAATGTGCCAGTTGATTTACCCATTCGCCTGGTGAAGGACATCTTGGTTGCTTTCAAGTTTGGCAAGTATAAATATCCACATGCAAGTTTTTGTGTGGACACATGCTTTGGGTACAGACCCAGGAGTGCAGTTGCTGGATTACATGGTAAGAGAATGTCTAGTGTTGCAGGAAATTGCCAGGCTGTCTTTCAGAGTGGCCATATCATTTGGCATTCCCACCGGCAAAGAATAAGAGGCTATGTTGTTCCACAGCCTCGCCATCATTTGGTGTCGTCGGTGTTCTGGATTTGGCCATCCTACGGGGTGTGTTACTTTGTAGATCAAAAACCAAAGCAAAACTAACTTTTCAAGAAAAGTAAAACCCTGTTCTTTTCTTCTGCATAGCTGGCGAGCTTCAGTCCCTCTCCCTCCTCACCCTACCCCACCACCGTTGGCCCTGTGGAGAGCAGCAGCTTGAGGGCTCGTTACCGTTCCTCACCCACCGTCTACAACTCACCCACGGACAAAGAAGACTACATGACCGACCTGCGGACCCTGGACACTTTTCTCAGAAGCGAAGAAGAGAAACAGCATAGAGTAAAGCTGGGTACATGATCATTTTATTTATTTACATAATCCTTAACCTGTTCTTTTCGTTATTTTGATAACCTGTACATAAAATTTCAAGTTTCAGCCAGGCGTAGTAGCTCACACCTGTAATCCCAGCACTTTAGGAGGCCGAGGTGAAAGGATTGCCTGAGCCTAGAGGTTGGAAACCAGCCTGGGCAACTTGGCGAGACCTCGTCTCTATAATAAATCAAAATATTAGCTAGGCGTGGTAGCATGCACCTGTAGTTCCAGCTACTTGGAAGGGTGAGGCAGAAGGATTGCCTGAGCCCAGCAGGTCGAGGCTGTGGTGGCTGTGAGCATGCCAGTGCACTCCAGCCTGGTTGACAGAGGGAGCCTCCAACTCAAAAAAAAAAAAAAAAAAAGATTCCAGCTACTTAGAAGACTGAGGCAGAAGGATCAGATTGCCTGAGCCCAACAGGTCAGGGCTGTGGTGGCCATGAGCTTGCCACTGCACTCTAGCCTGGGCAAGAGAGTGAGAGTCCGACTCAAAAAAAAAATCTTTATTTTACTAATTTTTATCTTCTTAATCTCCCAGTGATTAATAAAGTATATCAGAAAGTCTCACTGAGCTCGGTGCAGTGGCTCACGCCTATAATTCCAGCACTTTGGGAGGCTCAGGCAAGAGGATCACTTGAGCCCAGGAGCTCGAGGTCAGCCTAGGCAACATAGTGAGATCTCATCTCTAGAAAATAATAAAAAAATTACCTGGGCACGGTGGCACATGCCTGTACTCAAAGCTACTTGGAAGACTGAGGCAGAAGGATCACCTGAGCCCATGAAGTCATGGTTGCTGTGAACTGTGATTGTGCCACTGCACTCCATCCTGGGCGACAGTGAGAAAGAGACTCAAAAAAAAAAAAAAAAAAAAAGATCTCACTGATTGTCTCCCATTAAATATTTACTTAAAATGCTGTTAGATTTGCTAAATGTACATATGAGATTATGTTAAGTGTATGTAAATTCAGAATTGCTAATATTATTCTGATGGAATTCTGCCTTTGATCTATATCTGAGGCTTTTTGACTTCAGGTTTGTTTTGTCTGACAGTAACACATCTGCGCTAATTTTCTTTTGTTAGTATTTGGCTGTTATATCTGTCTGTTCCTATGCTTTTAATTCTTCTGTGCCCATAGGTTTTAGGTAATTAAATATTGTATACAGATTAATTCATAAATAATAAGTGTTTTTTGGGAGGTTCTCTCCAACTATGTAAATGTCCTGTTCCTGATCAAACCTTGACTTATTGGGCTTAACATCCTTTCTTTTTTTCTTTTTCTTTTTTTTTAATTTTAATTTTTTTTTCTTTTTTTTTGAGTTGTAGTCTCACTCTGTTGCCCAGGCTGGAGTGCAGTGGCATGCTCACAGCCATTGCAGTCTCAACCAGCTGGGCTCAGGTGATCCTTCTGCCTCAGCCGTCCAAGTAGCTGGGACTACAGACACGCACCTCCATGCCTAGCTGATTTTTTAATTTATTTAATTTTATTTATTTATTTATTTATTTTTGAGTTGGAGTCTCACTCTGTCACCCAGACTGGAGTGCAGTGGCCGCTTCCGACCACTGCAGCCTTGACCTGCTGGGCTCCGGCGATCCTTCCGCCTCAACCTTCCTAGTAGCTGGAACTACAGGCGAGCGCTATCAGCCCAGCTAATTTTTTGATTTATTGTAGAGATGAGGTCTCGCTGCCCAGGCGGGTCTCGAACCTGTGGGCTCAGGCAATCTTCTCACTTGGGCTCCCAAAGTGCTAGGATTATAGGCGTGAGCTACCACACTCAGTCAGTTTTATTTTTTTTAAAGAATGTGGGGAGCCGGGCTCGGTGGCTCAGCCTGTGATCAGTGGATTGCCTGAGCCTGTGGATTGCCGGGAGCGGCCACTGCGCTCCAGTCTGGGCGACAGAGTGAGACTCCAACTCAAAAAAAAAAAAAGAATGTGGGGTACAATTCAGGATTAAGTATACGAGTAGTCATTGTATAGTAAAGTTTGGGCCCTGGTTGCTTTTAGTGGAGAATGATATTTGGAAAATTGTGTCTGGGCACCGGACATGCTATTGTTGCGGAGGCATCGCTACAGTAGATCCTCAGCATATAGCTGGGAAATCTGTGTGCATGTGGATATACACACATGGAGATGACGGGCACACACATCTGTGTGCGTTTCTCCATCTATAGACACAAGAAGCCACGAGTCCATCATGGCACCTCCAATTCCAGTCTAGCTGGACAGGGCATATTCTTTCTCCCTTTTCACGTGCATAACTCCCTTCTCCAGTAGTGAGAAACCGGACCCTCATTCTTTCTGTCTGTGTCTGTCTGTCTCTCTCTCTCTCTCTCTCACACACACACACACACACACACACACACACTCTCTCTCTCTCTCTCACACTCACACACACACATTCACACTCACACACACTTGCTGAACCACCAGAATGGAAGTTTCAGGCACCATGCCATTTTATTCCTAAATATTTCACACACATCTCCTGGGAACAAGATACTTTCCTTTATAACTGCAATATGATTATCATAATTAAGATACTACAGACTGGGTGTAGTAGCTCCAGTCTGTAATTGCAGCACTCTGAGAGGCTGAGGCGGGAGGATTGCTTTAGGCCAGGAGTTTGAGACCAGCCTAAGCAACATAGTAAGACCTCGTCTTTACAAAAAATTAAAAACTAGCCAGACGTGGTGGCGCACACCTGTAGTCCAGCAACTCTCAGGAGATTGAGAGGGATCGCTTGAGCCCAGGAGGTTGAGGCTGTGGTGAGCTGTGAAGCTGTGATTGTGCTACTGCACTCCGGTCTGGATGACAAAGTGAGACCCTGACTAAAAACAATAAAAAAAGATAATCACATTCTAATTTCCCAGTTGACTCCAGCATGATCCATGTACCTCCGTTTTTGTTTTCACTGATGCTGGATCCAGTCAGGGACCATAATGCATTTAGTTGTCATGCCTCTTTTGTCTTAAATCTAGAATATTTGAGTGGTGTTTTTGTTTTATCTTTTATGACATTTCATTTTGAAGAGATCAGGCTGTTGTTTTGCAAATTCTCATGTGTCTGATCATTTTCTTACTAGATTCAGGTTAAATGTCATTTTCTGGCAAGAACACACTTTACGTGGTGGCGTGTCCCTTCAGTGTGTCATATCAGAACCTGCACGATCCTGTTTTACCCCCTTTGTTTTCTTTGTTGTTGTGTTTGAGTTGGAGTCTCACTGTCACCCAGGCTGGAGTGCAGTGTCACACTCACAACCACCGCAGCCTCGACTGCTGGTCTCAGGTGATCCTTCCGCCTCAGCCTTCCAAGTAACTGGAGCAACAAGCGCACCACCACGCCTGGCCAATTTTTTGATTTATTGTAGAGACGAGGTCTCGCCACATTGCCTGGGCTGCTCTTGAATCCTCTCACCTCTGCTTCCCAAAGTGCTGGGATTACAGGTGTGAACTACTGCGCCCGGCCCTGTTTTGTCCTTTTGTTGGTTACCTGTAGTTGGAGCCCTTGGTTGGGGGATGACAACTGGCTTTCTCCGCAGTAGCTCCCTGGCAGCCTTTGACCTAGTGATCTTCGCTGCTGTGGGTGACCATCCACTGCAGGAGTGAACTCAGTGGTGACCACAGTTACTCGTATCTTCCTCCATTCGAATGTTGGCATTCCTCACTAAGGATGAGTGTTCAGTTTCACCTCCCTCTGGTTTGTTTCAGTCACTTTGGACTCATGATCAGCTTTTGAGCACTTTCCAAACTGCTATTTAACGGGTTCATTGAGTATTTACATTCCAGTCACTTACTTTTATCTTCTCGATTGATTTGGTTCTTTTCAAATATGTTTGATTTTTGTAGAGTGTCTTTTGTTCTTATGCTTTTGACTCCTTTTTCTTTCTTTTTTTGAGTTGGAGTCTCACTCTGTCGCCCAGGTTGGAGTACAGTGGCACGCTCATGGCCACCGCAGCCTCGACCTGCTGGGCTCAGGTGATCCTTCTGTCTCAGCCTTCCAGGTAGCTAGAATTTCAGGCCCATGCCACCATGCCCAGCTAGACTCCTTTTTCTATCTCAGTCACTTAAACACCTTTCTTTTTTTTCTTTTTTTAATATCAAAGAGCATATAATCAATTGAAAGAGAAGATAGAGAAGAAGACACATAATTAAGAAGTACAAATGTGGTAATACAAAATAACAGCTGACTTTTTTTAGGCAAAAAACCTGAAAAGACATTTCACAAGTGAAGGTATTCATATGTACAAAAAAAAAAAGCTGGGCTTGGTGGCTCAGCCTATAAATCCCGTGCCTTTGGGAGGCTGAGGTGAGTGGATTGCCTGAGCCTGCGGGTTCAAGACCCGCCTGGGCAGCGAGACCTCATCTCTGCAATAAATCA